AACAAAACCTAAAAACAAACAACTCCAGAATTAGCAACTTTACAAATAACTAAATTCTGATTCCAATTGAAAATCTTCAAACACTTTGTATTTAAATTTAAATAATTAAAACTTCGTAGTTAATTCCCCATAATCATACATAAAGTATCATGTATACTTTTAATTTTTGAGATCTTTTATTTGTCAGGTAAACATACAAAAGGTGTACGCAATGCAAAGTGTATGCGATCCGATAAATAATTTCGGTTGTTTTTTTCTAACTTTCACAATCACTGTACGAAAACAGTCAAATTTCACTCCGGATCTTTCGTCTAATGTAACTTTCAATAAACATTCATTCACACCGGAGACTTTAATATTTCACAAATGTAACAAATTTGCAATCAAATTGTTATATCGCGCCAAGAAACTATTACTATTTATACAAACCTCGAGTTTTCAAGATTTTTTCCATAATAATATTAATCTAATTAAATTCTTAGGTAAATAAAATATTTTTTCTTAAAAATTTTAATTTTCGTGTTTTAAAAAATATATGAAAAATATTAATCGAATTTTTTTTTCTATAAATTATCGAACTCCCAAGTGCTGTATGATAAAATTAAATATTAGTCAATGAGGATAAAAAAGTCTTATTCATTAAATTAATAATAATATAGTCTCTAATTCTAATTTTTTTTTTTTTTGAACACTTTCAGAATATTTTTTAAAATTATACAAAGTGATTATTAACTCACAATGGACTAACTTTATAGACACATAGAATCGTAAATCTACAAACTAATTTTTAAATAAATAGTTCCTCTCGTGATATAACAAATTGATTATAAATATCCTAATTTGATTGTTGTGCCGAAGCAACAGTAAACAAAGCCTTAAATTCAAGTACAGGCTTGGCACCAAAAAATCAATATTTCAGTACCAACTGATGCAACATAATGTCAAAAAAAAAGGAAAAATTGGCACAGAAAAAAATGAGTATTCAGAAATAAATAAATATTTATATAATTATATTGGTATATTTGAATCGCTCTCAACATTTGAGCTGGTTTTTACTGAAACATTGACTTGGTGAAATATAAATTGAACTTATTATTATTATTATTAATATTGAACTTCGATTTTGGTAGAGTAATAGATCAATGGAATAGCCGAGTTGCATTAGTAAGTAGCAAAAATACTTTTTCTTTTAAAGAAACGCAACTATTCCTAGTTTCTAAGTTCGCTTTAGAACATAAACCTTCCCGTAAAACGAAAGAAAAATTATTACAAGATTTTTTTTATAAGGACTTTAATAAATCCTTTATATATAATATTTGCATCACTCTAGTAATAAATAACATTTTTTTCACTTTAAGGTTGTTTATCCATAAGAGAATTCAGACCTCTAGAAAAATAAAATAGAAAAATAAAATTTAATAATTTTATTATTTCCTAAAATTTTTCTGAAATATTATAAATATTTCAGGGAACTTTAAAAATATTTTTCGAAGAATAAATATCAATTTTTAGAAAAAAGAAATGAAAAACCCACTAAATTTATGTGTTGACACAATTTGCATATGATCCGAACTTTTTTTTTCATTTTATTATTTTCTATCAGTTTTTGATTTTTTTGATGATTTTAAATCATTGGATTTTAATGTAAAATGGATTATTTTCTTTAAAAAATGTTCAAGTTCAACTGCACCGTAAGGATTTTAAAACAAGCGCTTATTCAGATTTAGAGTTCCATAACATTATTTTTATGATAATTTTTTGTGAAGGATTCAATGGTCATAAAATATTTTGATCCTTTTGGAATTTATGTTTTTTTCAATTTAAAACTTAATAGACTTTGGAAGCCATGCGTAATTTTGCAGAAAATGTTTTTGTATATCCCAAAAAAATTGCCGAATGAAAAATTTCATTTTTACTACTTTTCAAACATTTTTTAAAATTGTTCTTAGACTTTTGTAAAAATGACAAAAGAATGTTAATCAATTTTTTTATGATAAAAATTTAATTATTTTCCCAACTAATGCCAAATCATAATTTTTAAATATTTTTATTTAAAAAAATTGATTTGAAATTAGTAAAAAAAATTAAAGAAATAAATTTTCAATAAAAAAAATCGAATATAACAATTTTTATTAGCATTTTCAGCTGAACAATTTAAAAAAAAATGCTTCAAAATTTCAAATCACAAGTTTCGAATATTTAAATGAATGAAATATGTTTTATTAAAAATATTTCCATAAATTACAGGTTGCAATAATTAAATTAAAAAATCTAAATTTTACATTTAGAAACATTAAAATTATTTTTTCATTTGTGACGCAAAATTATTATAATAAAACTTTAATCTGATGAAAAACTAAATAAATTATGTTCGTTTGAATGTTCAGAACTTTAGGAACATTTAAAAATCGTAAAAATCAAATTTTTTATTCGGAAAATTTTTTGGGAATAAAAAAAAATATATTTTCTTTAAAAATACGCATGAATTTCAATATTTATCAATTTTTAAGAAAAATAAAAATAATTTTATGAAATATTTAAAATATTTTCTTGTAGTTAAAAATATCGATATCAAATAATTGTTATATGAACCAAATAAATTGTATTTGAATCAAATAATTGTTATTTAAACCAAATAAATTGTACTTGAATTAAATAAATTGTACTTGAACAAAAAAATTCATTATTTGAAGCAAATTCTATTAAATTTATTTAAATAAAAATTATTCGATAATAACAAAAATTTAAATCACAGGCAAATTGAACAAAAAAATTAATTTTGTTGGTTTAAAATTTTTTTCTCGACAATCGAATCCCGTTCTTCCAGAAAATACAATTAATAACAAGTTTCCAGTTCTCCAAAAATATGAATTGATTATTTTCTTTAAAAGTCTGCCTTTCTTTGGATAAACGTCCTTAATAACTGACAATGAAAAATAAAAAAACAAAAAAGTAACTTTTGCATCAATGACAAAAGCAAGATTGATGTAAAACTAGACTTTTAAATTTAAACAATCTATTCGAATTTTGATGTCAATCAAATAAATGCTGAATCTAATGATCTAAGCTCATTACTAGTTTTTGGAAATGTTTTAGAAGCATTCTACAATGAAAATTTGTGCGAATTAATATTCAACAATTTTTTTTTTTTTTTTTTTGCATTGTGACATATTATGCAGAACACGAATTCTTTATAATTCTACAGTTTAAATAATTTTTGTCAAAGAGATCTCTTCTTTTCTTCCAAAATCGAAAATCTTGGTATTTTTTTTTTCTTTAATGAAGATTTCTCATCACTCTCTCACATACAATATTATTAATGTCAGCATATTCGAAATAGCTATGGAGGTATTATTTTGCTTCATTGTACATAGTCATTCTAGTTTGTACATCTTCACTCTAAAGTGTTTTCATTCACAGTTTGAGTGTTTATTTTCATTGGATTTCTTTGATATATGGTCGAACGTTATTATGAGCGTTAAACCAAAATTAATGATATTAATCAAGATGCAGTAGAGCGAAAAAAAACAAGAAAGAATTAAATGAAAAATTTATAATCAATTTAGATTTATATAATTAAGATAAATATACTAAAGTAAATGTAACAGTTTAATTAAAGTGACAAGTACCAATTGTTGAAAAAAAAATGAATATAAATAATTGTGTTTTAGTTCTAACACTATTGTGCAGATTATGATCTGTATAATCTGCTGATAAAGATTGTTATATTCCCTTTAATCTGTTTCACACTGTGGTTTAAAATTATAACTTTATCTGCAGAAGATAAAAAATTTTCTCTTGTTAAGAGTCAAGAATTACATATTGATTTCATCTCTAATCCACTAGAGGAAATACAATATAGAATATTTACATTCTTGTCGATTTTTAAAAATCAACCTTGATCCTAAGTATTTATTTTTATTTTATTTTTTTGTAATGAATTTCATTCCAGATATGTACACGCCTTTCTGTAAAAAATGTCAAGAGATCAGCAATCGAAAGAGGCAATAAAAAAAATGCCTTTATAGCTTGTATAGAGAATTCATAACTAGGGAAAATCTTGACTATAGAATTCAACTAATCAAATTAACTATTCTTGTTTTATGTCCCAATTGAATCGTCGGATTAAATATTATTATAGACGCACATTCATCAGGATTGATAAATATCCAAAGCAATTCTCGACGATCTATCGGCAAACACCAGAGCTAAATAATCTATTACACATAACAAGTATGAAAGCGAATTCATACTTGCTTTCATCACAATTTTATCTCTTATACTTCTACGCACATTACACTTGTTTGTGAATTTTTTAATCCATCTCTGTATAAACAAATATTATTGTCCTTCGAATGTTATTTTAAAAATCAAAAGTTCGGCCTAAATTTATTTCGAATTAGTTGAATAGTTTCTTTTTAGTTTCTTTTTAGAAGCAATTTGAAGTTTCCTTTTTTTGCCAATACAGTCTACTTTATAGACAAGATTAAAGAATCTTTGAAAAATTGAGATACTTCAGCTAAACACTTTATTAAATTGTACGATTATTAATTTTAGTTAATTAACATTACAATCTCTTCAATTACATCTTTTCATTTTACATAATTAAATTTTAATAAAGATTTCCGTGCAGTATAACATATTTTGAAAAGTGAAAATTTTTATAGATTGCTGATTAGAAGATATTTCATATCTTTAATTTTACCACAGAATAGCCATTAAATATCATTAATGATACTTATCCTAGACTGGCTCTTTTTAAAAAGTCTAATACAAATATATTGTTTAAAAGAACTGTTTTCTTATGCCGAACTGATTTCTTTTGCTACGATGATCACTAAATCAAGATTTTTTCATCCATCCAGTCTCACAATTTATTTTTATCACTTCATTCAGAAGTCTCTTAACACACTGAATTAAACTCACAAATATATATTTTTTTTGTAGTTTTTTCAATGTTTAAGGATTTTTTTTTGTTTTTTTTTTTTGTTTGTTTTAAATTTTTCTTTGCACCGCAAAGAGGTGCTTTGTTTTCGTCGAGTTGCAAACTGCTTACGAAGGTCACGCGGTAGTGTATAGGGTCACACTCGCAATGTGTTGATTTGCCATAACTTCTACAATGGCATCTCGAATTCCGTAACAGAATGTGCAACCAAACGGATTTGTGGTATTTGTAGAAGACGAGCGATTTAGAACGACCGGTCGAGCGCTTGCATTTAGTTGCTCGCTTACTCTGTCCCATTTTGTATAGGCAGTGATCTAAAACACATCACCTTTCATATTAATTCAAGGAGAGAGATTTAATTCAAGGTGAACGTGGCAAAAATGAAAGCCTAAAGCATGATTGTGCAAAAGCAATGAAGAAAGACAAAAATAAAATTGCAATTCGAAAATGGAAACAAGCAACCCAAACGAGAAAAAAAAACACAAACACCTACGATTTCTATGCAACTCTCACAAAAAAAAGGTCAGAAGAAAATATGAATACAAAATTGGAATTCGAAAGGTGAGTAGAATCACAGTCACACACTGTTAATAAAGCATTATTTCCAAAGCAGCGATTTCCTCTATACGAAATAAAAAAAACCTTCTTTACAAAGCGTTTTTAAGCAAAAAGCAAACTTTGCGTTTGTTAAATTTAAAAAGGCAAAAATTCACACATTGTAGAAAAAATAGAAATTTGTTTCAAAAACTCACAGTAACAGGAGTTGGGGTGACGTCGATGAGTTTCCCAGAATCCACGGAACTACTTTCTGGGGGTAAGGAGAGAACGAACTCACAGCGGTGATACATGTTGAAATTATAATGCCCTGGGTAATTTGTATGTAAAACGAATTTTTTAACACACTGGGTCTTTGCATCGAACAATACATCCTGAAATAAGAAACAATTATTTATCAATTATTCAAAATAAAAATCAGAATCAAATGCAGTAAAATTCATCTTAAACTTTTAATTACTTTTTTATTTTTCCCTTCATATTTATATTAATTATTTTTCCTTTTTTATTTATGTTTTATTTTTACTTTTATATTTATATTATACTTTTACTTTTATATTTTACTTTTACTTTTATATTTTTATTTTATTTTTTTTACTACTTAATTTATCCCACTTAACAATTTTATTTCTAATTTAATAAAGAAAATCATTTTTCGAAAGCTCAAATTAAAAAATAAAAAACACTTACCAATCCCAGCGTAAAATAATTGTAGAAAAAATCAGATCTTCTAACTTTATCCCGCTTATGCGCATGAGGACTGTGAATTCTCATTTTATCTTCAGCTTTGAAGAAAACACGAGACGGTGCTCCAAGAGCACTCAAAACATCTTCACAAGTGTCGCCAAACCAGACCTATAAAGAAAAAAAATGCAATTTCATAAATAAGAAATAAAAAAATCTTTATATCCCTAAATGTGCTATTTTAGAAATTTCAGGAAAGATTTAACAGAATTGCCACAAAAATTTAAGTACGTTTTTCCTTAATTTCCAGACAAACTATAATAACTTTTTTCCTAAGCCTGAATTCTGAAACGTTTTCAAAAACGAAAAAGCAAAAAAGAATTGTTTTTCCGCTTAATTCATCTCTAATTTTAATAAATTGATTTGTATTTAGTTTTTAGAAAACGAAAATACAAAAATAATTCGATTTTAAATCCACAGTCTCTTTAATTTTTCATTTTCGTTTCTAAATTATAAATATTAGAATTATCAAAAATATAATTTTAGGACATTTTAATGATTTCAAAAAATTTAAATTACTTGTTTATAAAAATTCAATTATCTTTAATTAATAGAATTGAAATATTTTTTAAATCTAAGTTTTCAGAATTTTAATTTTTAAAATTAACCAATTCATAAAAATTTTTATTCTCTTTCGAAATTAAATTATTTCAGATTCAATTTAGACCCTTTAATGCTTTGTAAAATTAATTTATTTTTCAATTATTTAATTAGAAAAAATGTCTTATGAAATTCTGTAACAAATTTAATTATTGTTAACTCAATACTAATTTTATAACTTTTTCATAGAATGTTTTTTAAAATTCAAGTAACTTTAAAAAATAAAATTTAAATTTCCTAGAAATCTATTTTTTTCTGAAATTTAAATAAAATTATTTAAAGATTAAATAACTTTTTTAATATTTCAAAAATTTTAATTTCAAAACTTCTTAAATTCAATTAATTCTGAAAATTACAAGTCTTTATTTCAAATTTTTTCCTTTCAGTTATATTCTAAATTTTAATTATTTACCGCAAAAAACAAGTTATTGTTTTAAAATCCATTGTGATTCAAATTTTTTAAAGTCGCAAAAATTTAAAGACAATTTAAAGATTTTATATTCTTCAAAAACATTTTCAGACACCAAACACTATTTAAAAACAACAAAATAAAAAGAAATTGAACTAAATATTTTAGTGTCTTTTTTCTAGTTTTTAATAAATATAGTTAATAAAAGTTTGTCATTTGTAATTTTCTTGATTCCAAATGAGTTGTTTTTTCAAAAACAAAATAAATATCTAATTATTTCTAAAAGAATTTAAATTTGGAAAATAAATTAAATTTAGTTTAAAAATTTCTTGTCGTAGTAGTCTATATGCAAAAAATTTACATTTATTAGCGTTGAAATTTATCAGTGACTTTTGCTTATAAAATGAGAAACAATTATTTGCTCCTTTCACTTCTACCATAATTGTAAATATGACGTCGCAATATTGCGCTAATAAAACCTAAGGAGGCGTGGTTAATAGTATGAATTATAACTGACTAATACAAATTATCTTTAATGCTTATTTTTCGATTAATCTCAACTGTATTTTTTATTAGTAGTCAATAATTTAAATAAATTATATTCCCGAATGTCGTTTCTCTCGAATTTTTTAATATGCAGTATATTTATTTTTTCAAAAATCATTTTATCGACTGAAATTTTACACAAATGTCCCCAATTCTCAAAAATGCATTTTTTGTTACTCTTTCACGAATATAATATTTTATTTTGAAGAAAGTTTTTTCAGCAAAGTTTTTAAAAATATGTTCCAAAAGTTTTGAACGTTAAAATTGAGCGAAAGTTTTTTTCTGCCTACATACATATTTTTCAATCAATTCAAATAAGACGACTAATTAAAATTAAACATAATTACTTAGTTGAAAGTTAATTTTTCTAATATAACAAATAATTTTTTTGCAGATACAAATTACAAGAAATTAAATTTATTTCTAATTTTCATGTCTGTGAATTTTAAAAAAATTAATTATAAATTTGAAGGCAAATCGTCGAATTTTTGTTTAAAAAACGCTGTGGACTTTAAGTTTCATGTTCTTTGAGAGTACTTGATTTCTAATTGGTCTAGTTATTATAAAATGCATTACCTCTTTTGTTAGGCAATGCTTTTTAGGCTCGAGAAGAACTCTTGTAGCAGAACTGCCTTCTGTGAAAAGGTGCAATTTCAGGCCACGAGTTTGTGTTTTGTCCCTGACAACTTCGGCTTTTTCTAGGTACAAATTATTGTGATAACAAACCTAAAAAAATGAAAAATTGATTAGAATTTAAGACTCTTTAAGCACAATTAGTAAAATATGCAATAAAGATATTTCCAAAGTTAGAAACGTTCAAATGAGGAAATTTATTTATTTCTCCTTCTGATTAAAATGTTAAAATAATTTTTGCGGCACGCAATTGTAGTTTCTAAATGTAAAATTTAGATTTTTTAATTTAATTATTGCAATAATTATATCAGTAATATGGAAAATATTTCATTCATTTGAACGTTCAAAACTTGTGCGGAGTATTTAAAAAGGCAATAATTACGAGAGGCAAAGGTGGAGGTGGAGCTTTTAAATTGTGTTCTTCACTTCCAGTGCCTCCAGCAGCCATATTTCCCATGTAAATGGCAGTTTTAGCGACTAAAGGAGACGTTCCATTTGGAAATTGTAGCGACCCAAGACCATGGGCATAGCCCGGTTGGAATTTTGAGTCCATTGGAAAATAGAAGGACAAGCCTCGGAAGTTCAGCACGAAGACCTAAAAATTCAATTATATTTTTACGTAAATAATTTTTGAACCAAAAATTTTTCAATCGCATTAAATTGTTAATGACTAATTTAATTGTTAATTGATTCTTTTGTTAAATTAAATTACCTAGAGAGTAATTCTAATTCTGGAGTTATTTTAAGTAATTTAAATATTTATTCTTCAAGAAAATTACCTGTTTATCACTGTCATAGACACCTGGATGTGTTGCGCCAAATGAATGTTCGATCTGTTCAATCGAAGGCAAAACTTCAGGAGAATTGAAAGCCAATCCACAGTATTTAAGTTTAACTAATTTCATATTGTAAATTTCAATAATCTTGAGCCTTTGCACAACGGGATCAAAAATAAGTCGTACACCATCGTGTGGCAAATTAATTACTAAATCTACTTCTAACGGATTCTGAAAATAAAAAAAGAAAATTTATTAATACGATATTATTCAATCAGAAGAAAAGAAATTGTGAATAAAAAAACAAAGTATATATATGACACACAAAAAGGTCTCATAACAAATCAGAAAATCCAATGAAATTCTTCTCTATCCACTTTTGCAAAACATTTTTTTTAGGTGAACTTTTTATGAATACTAGCTCACTGACAAAGACAGAAAGCTTCTGATATTTCGTAATCACTAAAATTACATCAGAGACGGTTAAGTCATCTATTTCTTTATCACTACATCTATAATAATTTAGAGTTTATACGTTTGATTTAAAAAAAACAGTACATACAATTTAATAAAAATTTTAAATTTTAAATTAGAAAGTAATTAATCCTTAATTAATTAATTAAGTAATCTTACAAGTAAATATTTGATTTTTTTCAAAAGAAGAATTGAAAATAAGAACAAAACAAAAATATACATGACAAAATAATAAATGTTGAACTATTTTTAACATTATTTATGAAATACCGAAAAATATTCTCTTTTAAATAAATTTAATAAATAAACTGATTTAACAGAATGAACTGAATCAGTCAAATAAAATTTGTTAAATTTCATTTAGTTCTATAAATGATTTCGACTCCTGGCCAAATTTTATATTCTTGTCATATGACAAGGTATATTTGTCGAAATAATATTGAAAAAGCCAAGTACATCGATTAGAGTAAAAATAAAAAGACGAAGAAAATATTTAAATTAACCCTAATTTTAATAATAAGAATACTGTAAAGTAAATATAAAAATTATGATAAAATTCTACTTACAACATCACTGTAGAGGACCTGTACTCCTCTAATAATGCCCACTTGAGACTGTATGATAGATACAGACTGAGAGAAATGCATTCCTGAAAATAAAATTATCGTGTTAGTAATTGCAGAAGCTAAAGTATTTATGTGATACAATAAAAAATAGAGAGAAAAGCGTCATTACGAAATACGAATGTTTGTCAACACTTAAAGTCGATACGAATTCATTATCAACCTGTTTGTTCAGGTTCAAGAAGGCGCGCAAAAGAAAACTATAGGTACAAAAATCACTATAAAAAAATGAGATCATCAACCTTTTTTTTTGCATAAAAAAATTATAATTTCAATTACATAATTCATAGGTCAAGAGTAGTTTACATGCCGCCCCTGGTTACCTTTGTTTACATGCGATTGTCAAAATAAACGCGTATCCGGAATTGAAGGAAAACACTAAGGTCTCTTAATAACAGTCTCTACAGTGGCGTCATTTTCTAATTAAACGTCGTCATTTCTTTCAGTATCGTCAAATTGTTAGCATTTCATTCGACAATGTAAAATTTTGTTTTGTTATCAAACAATTCAAATACGTAATACGATGTCAAATGAGAGAAGAGAATGATAGAATTTTACTGATCAAGTTTCATCACTTGCCTAATATAAATTCCCATTGCTCGCAGCCGAGGGATCTTTCGGGCACCACCTCGAGCTCCAGCATTCTACGATCGTTTCACTCAATTTTTATGCCCGAAAAAATCTAAACACACAAACTTGACACGGCCTCGATTTTCACGAGAAACTGCGTTCTTTGTCTACTCAGCCTACGACCAGCAATCAAGCGGCCATATTGCTTTTTAACCACTACTACCACTACACTTGGTTTGCAAACTGTCACTGAACAGCTGATGCACTTGCCCTCGCCTCGTGACAGGAGCGTAATCATAATTTTACAAACCCTTTCTATTAGTTTTAATATTTAAATACTTTCTTTAAAGGGAAATAAATAATTTTCTTATTGTTTCTTTCTACGTATTTTCTATTTGATTTTACAAAAAGGAATTGGCGCCACTTTTTTCAAGCGGTAAATTTGAATTTTGAAACTTTATTCATTACTAACTTTTCATCTTTTGAAAATTGTATAAATGTTATATTTAAAATTTCTGTTTATTTAAAATTTATGCAAACTGAAAAATCGGTTGTTTATTTATTTAAAAAATTAAAAAACATTTTTTTTAATTTTTTTAAATTTTAATAAAATAAGTGGAGACACTGACCAGTCGTACGGGCGAGTAAGAAGGGTTGTCATGAGTAGGGGCCTCTTTATTTGAAAAATTGTTTTCTCACACTAAATTATTATTTTATTATGTTTTATTTATTATTTTATTTATTTAATAAAAATTATAAATGTCAAAATTAAAATGTTAAGATTAATTAATTTTACCATTTAATTAAAATTGTTCTATTCAACATTTTCTCACATTGTATTTCAATTGTATACTTTTTTTATGATGTTGTAAAACTACACTTAGGAAAAATTATAAATTTTTCTAACTATACAATTAAGTGAATAGATTTCTTCAATTACTATTATTTTGTAATTATCGGCATTTGAAAGGAAATTTTATAAATTGTAGGGAGTGTCCAAAAAAGATGTATTCACCTACATATTTATGGGTTAAGTAATTAGCATTAATCCTTTTTACAATTTGCCTTTTCGGTTACAAAGGATTTCGGGATCCAATCGCAGGTATCAACAGGATGTGAAAATTCTGGAATTTATTTCAGTTTAAAATTGGCAACCAAAGTGAACAGTTCTCAGTTTGCACTGAACAAGTTAAAGAAAATTTTTCTGAAATTATAAGTGAGAAAGTAAAAAAGAGTGAAGAAATTTCAAAAAAAAAAAATTTTTAATTTATCAGAAAACTTGGTGAGTACTTATAGCTTATCCTAGCTTCTTATTTCGATATTATTATTATTTTTATTTTATTATTTATATATTATTAATTTTTGTTTTTTTATTATTTTTTTTATTTTTATTATACACTGAAAAAATTTATTTGATTCAAATACCCGATTGCTTGTCTATTATCAAATAAAAATATTTACTTGAATCAAATAAATTTTATGTAAATCAATTAAATTATATTTCTGTCTAATTTAAAATTAGTAAACTTGACTTTATGTTGAATTAGTAAATTTTATTAATTTAGTAAAAATTACTGTTTGTTACTAAAAATTACCGAGAAAATTACTAATTCAAAAGCAGGAAGTAATTATTACAAATTCAAATTTAGAGAGTTGAACCAATAATTTCAGTATTTGAAGAAAATACCATTTAATTGATTTAAATAAAAATTGTTTGATTCAAGTAAATATTTATTTGATAATAAGTAATTGGTTATTTGAATCAAATAAATTTTTTTAGTGTATTATTATTTTTATTATTATTATTATTATTATTTATTATTATTATTATTATTATTATTATTATTATTATTATTATTATTATTATTATTTTTATTATTATTATTATTTCCGAATCATTATTTATTTATTTATTTATTTATTTATTTACGGGCATTGAGTCCCATTCGTACATAAAGTACTAAAAATAATTAACAGTTATAAAGATGTTGTAAACATTAGGCTGAGTTATTATTATAATTAAAGAACAATTTACGTAGATCGCTAACGAAACTAGACAAAGAATATTATTAAAGAAATCCAGCTGATCCTTATTATTGCGAATTCAAATTATTTATATCATTATATTTTAATTATTATAAATAAATAAATGCTTTTTAATTCGAGATAATTTGAAAAGTTTATAAATTAATAATAATAATAACAATAATAAAAATTATTAATCGTGTAAATAGAAATTTTGAACATAAAAATTATTTATGAAGTTATTTGTTATTTGTCTTCAGAGCAATCAATTATGGGTAACATCATTTCAAATCGTGATGATATGGACAAAAGTGATACTGAAGAAGAAGTTATTCAATCAGATGAAAATTTATATACCGAGTTTGTTTTTCAAGATAGAATTGAAATGTACAAAAAAATGTTCGTTAAACAAAGGTAAGACTTAGTTTTAATTTTTATTATTATGAACTAAGAAAAATATTTTTCTATTATTTTTATAAAACATTGAATTGTATAAAGTTTATTTTCATTTCGTTATATAGTGAAAAAATTTTTCTGCTGTCTCAATAAAATGTTATTAGTTAATTTAACAAAACTTATACCTATTACCGACAGTTTTTAATTTTCTATTTAAATTGAATTCAGATTTAATTGAATTTAATTAAATTTAATTGAAACTTTAAGTTTTATTTTCGGCAAATTTAAATTGAATTCAAATTTAATTTATTTCAATTAAAATATATTATATATTAAATTTTTATAATATAGAGTTGAATTTTATTTTACGTTAATTGTCTATTTCTCCTTTTTTTGCAAACAGAGAACAATACATGTTAGACGTAGAAAAAGCAGAATCCTACATAGATGACAAAATTACAATTGCCAACAATTGTGAATATGGCAATGATGAAGTTAGCGCGACGAATTTAATAAAGGATCACGATTTACTGATGAAAGATTTGGAAGATTTAAGAAAATTGATTGTAAATTTAAAAACTCAAGTTGAAAATATAAAAATTCTAGAGTCAAAATTAAAAATTCTCGAATTAGAAGCATCGATTCAAGAACTTTCATCTACTTCGATAATTGAAGAACTTCTAACAATTCCCGTCAACGAAATACAAGCACATTTGGATTGTAAATTTAAACATTTAATAAAATCAGCGAAATATCGTCAAAAACAATTAAATGCAACCAGCAAGACATTTATATTGTTGAGAGAAGCTGGAGAACTTCAGGAGCAAATTAAAAATACAATCATCCACTCTGAGGTAAGAATTAATCCATAATTTTTCCACAGTTTTTCTAAGGATATCAAATTGAGACAAAAAAAACGAATCAAAAGTATCATAACAGTCGTTTTATTTATAATTACAATTTCTTTAATAATTTTTGATTTTTATTCAAATTTTTGCATTCTCATTTTCAGATGGAATATAAAAAAATCTCCGAGGACCTAGCCAAATCAGAATTCATCGAATACTACAAAAATTACCAAACTAGTATTAGAACGTGTAAAATAAATTTGATAATCCTGGATCAAATGGACAGGGAAATTTCAAAACTCGATAATAAAGAACATCAAGTTCTTGAACTTCGTCAACAAATTGAAATTCTAAAAGAAAAGAGTTCATCGACTTTCAAAAAAATGGAACCCACTTTTGAGAGACAACGACTCCTTCATGACATTGACGACATTAGCAACTCGTTAGATAGTAAATTTCATGAAATGTTACTAACACTCACACTGGCAGAGAAAGATGAAAGTATTTATTTAAATTTCCGAGCATTTCACGATAAAAATCTAATTAACGAACTTAGTACTTTTAATGAAAAAATTTACGAAATTAATAAACGACAAAATTTCTTTTTAAAAACAAATCCAACGCTCGCTGAAGATAATTGTAAATTCAAAAAAATTAATAGCGATTGGATGTTCTTAACTGAGAGTATAATGAAAGCTAGGGAAATTATTTTTCAACGGGAAGAAAAGTTGCGAATTTTTTATGATTGTCGGCAAATGTTGGGAACACTTCTTTCTCAGATGTCTGTCATTTCGGCTACAATGACAAATTTAAGGGATATTAATCACAATCTTAATTTGAGACGATAATTGAATTATAACTTTTAATGCTTATTTATAATTTAAAAAGTTTTTCTTTAAATTATTTTTAAATTCTTTTTCTTTAAATTATTTTTAAATTCTTTTTCTTTAAATTATTTTCTTAAAATTATTTTTCTTCAAATTATATTTTTAAGTAATGGAGCTTTTTAGAGTAAACTATCTCGAAGTGTAAAATAATGTCCCTAAAGTTCCATTAAACGAAATTTATTATTTATCAAATTAAAATTTTATTGCAAATAAAGTTACATAAACAAATATATGAACTTTTAAATTTTAATTCCGTTTTTACGTTTTATTATCATAGACAATAATTTTCGAAAAATAATAACGATAAAAAAAATTTGTTCATTTGAGCGTTTAGAACTTACGAATTGTGTAAAATATAAGAGTAAATATACCCAACTTGTTAAATATTAGGATTATATTTTTAATTTTAGAAAATTATTTATTCGGTGCTAAGTCATAAGTTTTGTAAATAAAATATTTTTGTAAACTGTAATATAAAAAATAAATATTGTCAATTTAAAAAATTTTTTGATTTATTTATCCATCGCATATGAAATTCTCAGCCAATCTATTAATTTTTTATTAATTCACGTTTGCCACATAATATAATTTTTTTTTTATAAATAATTTAGGGGAGACTGGGGCGAAAAGTTAAATTTTGCATAAATGATTTTTTTTTGGCAATATAAGCCGCTTAGATGCAAATATTTGTATATCAATATTGTAGGGCAACTTGTCCTCTACAACTTTCAATAAAAAAGTTCCTGATATTTTCGCAAAAAATACATGTTTTGTCCTTTTTTGAAAATTTTGTTTTTTTTAACTTTTCGCCCCACCCTGGGGCGAAAAGTTAAATTCTATTTTTAGCCTACTAAAACTATTTTCTGATAGGTGATAAGTAGTAGATAAGTTAAAGTATACGTAAACAAGTAATTTAGTAAATAAAAGATCTTTGTTTATTTGACAAAAGCTTTAGAATAGTTGTAAAGTTAAAAAATTGAAATTTCAAAAAAAAAAAAAAAAATTTTTTGGTTTATTTCACGTTAACCGGCTTATTTTTTGACAGAGTACTTGCCCAATGTCAAATAAATAATGTTTAAACAAATAAACCCAAAAAAACGAAAAATAAAAAAAAAATTTTTAACAACATGTAAAAATACATTTAACTTTTCGCCCCACCCATTATTTAACTTTTCGCCCCAGGGTGCGTTTTTGGCTTTAACAACAAATATAAAAAATCTGACTGAAGATATTTAGCAAATACCTTTAGGTATCTCTTCAGGGGACCCAAATAATGAAGTAAAAAAATCGCGGTGAGAATAAATGCAAAAAATATACTTAAAAGTTGATATTTTCTTTTTCGAAAAAATTTTCAAAAGTAGGTTGAAAAAAAACTTTCAATATCGACACCACAAAAATAAACAGAATTGCACACAACTCCGGACATTTATTTAGGGTGATAACACCCTTCTATAATTAAAATTGCAATGCTCTAACTATTTTCGTTCGAAAGATATTGAATTTTAACGGTTTTGGCAGTTTAACTTTTCGCCCCAGTCTCCCCTACTTTTACTTTATTTTCGTTTGTTTTTAATTTTTCTTTAGTTTCTATTTTGGTCTTAAAGTTTTGAATTAATCAAAACGAAATCAAGTTTTTATGGCAACCCTGTAATTATTTTTATTAATTTCACTCATTTTCCACTAATTCTGCAATCGACTTTTTTCCTAAAAGTTTAATTATTTAATATAAATAAAAAAAGCGAAGAAAATCTCACATTATATAAAATTTTCAAATAATAAGCAAAAAGCATTGGCAGGAAAATAAGAAAAATAGAAAATTATTGTAAACACACAATATGCGATAAAAGATTAGTATAATATATGAAAGAAGTAATTACAGAATATTTTTCATTTCTTTCTTATAACGTAATAGAAAAGTTTTTTGTTGTTTAAAAAAGCAAAACAATGTTTTCATTGTGTAACACTTGCGACAATAAAATAAATACTCTAAAGTAATTAACATTGGTTAAAATGTTAAATTAGATTTTTAATTTGTAGTTTAAATTTTTTTATCACATTTATATAAATTAATTGTAATTATAATTAGGAAAAAAAAATTGTGACGTTGATTTCACAATATATATAGGTATATTGACTGTCAGTATGACGTTTAGGAAGGCTCGTTCTCAACATGATACGGTATCAGTCATATGTTTATGTAGTCAACTTTTTTTATTCCATTTCTTTACAGACTTCGTTACTTCAAAGTGAAGTTATTTTCATCATTTCGTTTTGTTTTTTTAAAGCAAAAGGGAAAACAAACAAACAAACAAATAATTTTTGTTACACAATTTCATACATATGTATATCATCTAATCACATCATTAATATTTGTTTATATTAATATTCTAATTAACAACTAACGATGTTAATTATGAAAAAAATTATTTGATGCAAATAATCGATTACTTGTCTATCAAATAAATATTTACTTGAATAATTTTTATTTTAGATAATTTTTAATTAAAACAAATGAATTGTATTTGATTCAATATATTTTCAGTATTTGAAGCAAATACCATTTAATTGACTTAAAAAAATTATTTGGTTCCAATAAATATTTATTTGATAATAGACAATAGCAAATAATCGGCTATTTGAATCAAAGAAATTTTTTCAGTGTAACAACTAACGACAACAATTAATGTTTTTACGAATATTATTATCTTGATTATAAATTACATATAACATGTCTAATTAAATTAGATTTAAATTATGTATTATAATTACAATTAAAATTTTAATTTCTCTATTTCATTTCATTTTTTAATAATTTTATTTCTAGATAAATAAATGCATATAAATAAAATAGGTACAAATATATAATATAAATTATATGTAATTGTGTTATGATTTATAAATAATCCAATTTTTTTCAAATTATAAATAAAATTATAAATTAAATTATTTAAAGAGGCAAATGAATGGTTTTTTTGTAAGCATTTGTTAATTAAATCATTTTTCTACGAATAAATTTCGAAATTTGATGTTTACCCACAATCTATACGGATTATTTTTATTTAATTGCAAAATTTCTCGGGATAATCAACTACTGTGTGGGGAAATAATCGTGACCCCCTGCGATGTCTTGTCCTCGTTGTTACAAAACAGTTATCGAATCTCCTTTAACCCCAAGATTAATAATAAGCCTACAACAATCAATCTATAAAAGCACTTAGCATTGTTTCATCAAATTTTATAATTAGACACATTATTCCAAGAAATCTCAATTTTCATACTAATAGATTTCTACTATTAAATTTTTAATATTATAATCAATTCACAAATCTATAATTAATTCTACTCAACATAAAATAAATTGTCCTTATCTTTTTTCTGAGATTAAAACACAAAAAAAAATTACTTTTTTATTTCAACAACAATTTTATAGATTAATCGATTTCTCATTATTGTTCTTTGCGAGGAGGGTATCCAATATTATGAAGAGTATAAACTATCTTTATAATTCTGAATTGTAAATCACTTTTGTTTCTTAATGAGTATTTAAGTTATGTTTCAAAGAAATATAATCTATTTCTAATTATAAAAATTCTAAGGGCGTTGGTATTATTTAAATAAAAAGTGTTATATTTAAACAGGTGAAGTTCAATTTATATATACTCGTGAGAAGGAAAATTTGTAAAATTATTTTCACTTTCTTATTAATCAATATATGAGATAATTAATTTGCCCGATTGACCTATATGCATTTTTCTTTTTTTTGGAGAGTACTCTATAAACCAGTTATAACTGGAAATGATATAATATAGAAAAAAAAGTTAAATTCAAATAAATACGTTGTATGCTCACTCGGCTAAAACTAATTATTCCATTTTAATTACTATACAGATAGAACCAAATTTGTCGCGGGCATTTTCATTTTTAAAAGAATTCATTCTTGTATTTTTCAATTCTATATTTTGTTTCAATTCTTTTTCTACTTCAATTCTATTTCTAATTCAATTCCTTTTCTATGTCAATTATATTTCAATTCTATTTCTATTTCAATTCTTTTTCAATTTCAATTTTTTTTTATTTCAATTGTTTTTCCATTTCAATTATATATTTTTTTCAATTATTCTTCTATTTTAGAGGAATTTAATTAAAATTGTATCAAAATTTCTGCAAAGAATTTTGTTACTTTTGAAAATAATTGAATTTCTAGAATCATTTTTGTAACTTTTCCAAAATTCAATTTTTTTTTACTTTTTCCTGATTTTATGACCAATTCTACTTTCTCTGACCTGTGGAAACTCTGATTTATTGTAAAAAAAGATTAATTGAAAAAATCTTTTTTCAAAATTGAAAATTCTTTTTTCAATTTCCAGAATTATATTATCTAACAGAATAAAAGTTGATTATTGTTTTTTTCTCTTTCTCTCAAGGAAAAAGAAAGCGTTGTTGTTTTGTTTGTAAGTTTATTTACTTTTTTGCAGTTATTTTCCGTTTTAGCAAAAATACCCGAGGCTTTTGTCATATCAGTATTTTTTATGTATCGTTTCATTTTTAAAACAGGTTCCACTACAACTAATTTGAAAGTCATATTAGGACAAAGTCTTCAAAAAATATATGGTTATTTAGAATATGGCACAGATCATAGAGCAGAGTCCAAGTCCAGGTTGATCAGTGCAGTGAGAGATTTATTAAGTTACTCTATAATGAATCATTAATCACGAAGCTAACACAAAAGATCTTTTGTTTATTTATCTATATCCAAATTAATTTTACTCCAAACTTGAATTAGAAACTTTTTTCTTCCCTTTTTGTTCATCTTTAAAAACAATTTTAAATAAAGAATAAATAATAAATATTAAAATTTAAAAAAAAATTAAAATTCTCACTTCATTGTTGTAATAAAATTTAATTGGGTTTAATTATATTTTTCCAATCTTCAGAGCCATATTACATCAGTATGAAAAGATAAAAAATTTTGTTTCAGGGAATTTTCCAATTTCATTCGATAATTAATTTATCGATATCGAATAAGAACATTAAAATCATATCAGAAGCATCAGATTGATATACTTATGCTTTTCCTATTATGCAAATATTTTACATATTTGTTTACTTATTTAAAACTAGACTAAGCTGGACTAAGAGGAAGATATCAA